CGGGAGCACCAAATGAGCTTCAGAGCAGGTGCTGCATTTTGTTGCCTCCTTTGAATGAGGATGCACTGTGAGCACCTCCTGTAGTAGGATAGAGTTTCAACGTAGGGGAGAAGCGGGAACCAGCCCTTTCTTCGATTGCGTCAAGTCTCCTTGAGATTCGGGACACAAAGAAACGCCAGTCTTCGGCGCTAATCCCGCAGTTACTCGGCCTCTCTTGCGTCGTGCCTGTTGCCTCCCCGCGCTTCGTAGCAGTGTTGTTGCAGGGGGGGGGGGGGGGGGGGGGGGATTTTGGGAGGTTTCAAACTCTCCAACCCATTTTCTCCCCCCGCCCTTTCCTATGCCACATGCTTCTCCCTCTTTGCAAATATCACCTGATCTTCCAACTTCTTATCTCTTTTGAGCAGGAATGTTTGTTGATAGGCAAAACAACCACTAAAATTCTAAAGTAATTTGTAGTTTGAGTAGAAGTTAATCTGAAAAAGTAATTAAAGTAAACTACTAATTACCGAAATAAAATTGTAATTGAAAGTTACTAAACTACTCAGAAAAGTAGTTAAACTACAGTAACTTGAGTAGAGTAGTTGAACTATGTACAAGTCTGCTTGAAACTACTTTGGTGACGCTAATTAAAAAAAAAATCGGTTTCGTGCGTGCCACAGGAAACGATTCTAGTATTTTCAATGTTTCATTCGGGGTGGGTATTACATTGTTTTACATTCCCAAATTGATAAGTTATTTTTCAAATGTATGAATGGTCCTTTTAAATATACGCCTACAACTTTTAGCAAATGTTGCCAACTGACGCATAATTCTGCACCGAAGCCGTCCTGACTGGTTTCCAGTTCTTTTTAACTCCCGGAGTGCACGTTTGCATGTGATTTCAAGGTCGCACATGTGAATTAAATATTTGACGTAAGTGATTTGTCTTCAAGTTTTGAGTGAGTGAACATCATTTTTATTTTATCGGGAATAGACCTTTTCCGAGAAGCGTTCTGCGCATGTGCGAGCGCCCGATGCCAAGCGGCAGAAGTCGGAACGAAAAATCGAGGAAATGCGGAAGGAGGCTGTATATCAGCGAGTAGAACACGTAACTGCAGCATATATATAATTGTGTTACACAAAAAAAGAACGTCGACAGAAAGGAAAACACGACGTTTGAGTGGACGCCACGGGTGCCCCTCGTTCAAGTCGTATTGGGCAGGCGCCGCTGCTCAGAGAGCGAAGAAACTGGTAGCGTAGCTCCCATTATCGATTGGTAGCGCAGGTAGATCACTTCCTCGATTTTTAGTTCGTGCAGCCACCGCCTGGTGCCGTCGGTAAATAGAAAAGGTCCATTACGCTTTATATTTTTCGGCATTCGCAATGTGCATGAAACCTTTTGCATAGGAAAGTTATATATGCGAACCAATAACCAGGTATCACACCGCAATACATCACCTAAAAGACAGTGTGCGCATAAATTCGAATGCAAATCACCCCGAGGCCTTTGCGTCGAATGCCGCATGGCAACAAGCTCAAGGAGAATATTGGCACGCGGCATTCCAATCACGGATATCGCGGTGACTTGTGTTTGCAGACTGTCTTTTGTATGGAGTATGAGCAGTGTGACCCGGGCTTTACTGAGGTGGCCGTGTTAGGGCATGACTGAAGGAGAGTTTGCCTGTTGATTACAGAGTTTGAATAGGAGCTAATTTAAGTCATTCGTAGCACAACCGATATACAAAATAGACAAATACCTACGATATTTAAAGAATTCAGTGCAGATATGGTGGGCAGCGATATCAAATTTAAATAAAATACAAACAACACTCTATTTTGTTATGTATGCACGATGGGACTTCGAGTGCGAAGCGATGGGGAGCGTGAAAGTGAACGTTGGGTATCACTAGAGCAAGACATAGGTTTTTCTTAAAAAATATTGAATTGGACGGTAACAGGGCCACCTTGATTAGTTTGCTTTGAACGCTGGATAATATTTATATATCCAGTGCTTTTACAGTTTGCTTGCGCGCGCCGCCTGGCCGTGGACGGTGCAACTGTGCTCGTATTTTCTTTCGCCTGAGGCACCTGAGGTTCGCATCAGCCGGTAGCACACTTTTGGCGAGTTGTAGGGAATCCTTTGGCGCACCGTATCGGTTGCGTGGGGTTACGTATTGGTCTTAGAGCTCCCATCCGTCATGTGGGATTTGCGACGGAGTAATTGTGATATAAGAACGAGTAAGGGTAAGTGACGCGAAATTGATTGATCATTGGGGCTCGATACCTTTCGGCAAATTCGTGTGTGCCTTTTTATTTATGACGCAAAATATGATTCAGGGCGCGGATTTCCTCACCTGCATGGGCAACCGGATTTGCCAATAAATATACGACGTGCAAAGCTCGTGTTCTGTGGTCATTGGGTGCTTATCATGCCCTGGAACTGTCGGCTCGATTTGGGTGGGGTCGGTCGTTGCTAGGCGGTCAACGCGGTGCTTTTCTGTCGAGCGTTGCCGACCAAGCAGTGGCAGACCGCCAGTGAGCGGGCTGCATTCGCCTGCCCGATGACTATCAGAACATTTTACGTTGCGGTGGAACTGCTGGAACGTCGATGGCATGCCGGAAGTACCTACAATAGACTTTAGGTATACATAGATGTGTATGTCTCTGTTTCTCCCTGTCTGTGTTTGTCCCTCTCGTTCTAGCTGACCATTTACCTAAATTATGTACCAACTAGCTCAACTTCAGCCTACAATAGACGCGCGATTTGGAGCCGCCATATTGAAATGCGCCTCCGATTTGACCGAGGAGGAACTTTCCTCCCTTGCTGAAGGAGGCGAAGTTGCTCCATTTCTAAAGGAACATATGTGTGAGACTCTTTCCTCCATTCAAGGAGGACTGTGCTGACACTTTTTTTTTAAAAAAGTGCACCAGTACCAGAGGACGAAGACAAAGTCGCTTAGAAACCAAAATCGTGCTTTAAGTTTTCTACCTGGTCAGACAAAAGCCTCACGCAAGGCATCGCAAAGGCAGGTGGTTTTCCATTCAAATATTCTTATTCAAACGTAACGATCCAGACGCAATGGGCTCAGAACTTGAACATCGCGCAAGCACCGCTGACGAGCACTACGGCACAAAGCTGTGCATGACTACCCAGATAGAGCTTTGTGAGGCCTTGTGCGGACTTGTTCCTGACCGGAAACCGCACCCAGGCATCGTACTAGGAGTGGTTCACGGAAAAGGGAGTATTCACTGGCGCTTATAGTTGTGTGGGCGACTGCTGAGCGCATGCTGATGGCGAGCTTCCGCAGTGCTTTTGCGACATGCATTCCACACATTCAAATCCGCCGGTTTTAGCAGCCTATTATGTGAATTCGTTCTGAACATGCGCGCTAAGCAGCGCCCTCAAATATGAAGTTCAGTGAATACCCCCTATTGAAAGCGAGATGTTTTAATGGTGCCCTCCAATGTTGCCTCTCCTGACGTCATCATCATCCGAACAGCTAGTTCGATGGTGCTTGCGATTTGCATGGTGGGAGCTTGGGAGCTTGAAATGATTGCGCTCTCAAATCAACCCTGCAAAAACCGTCGAAATTGGAGGTCTTACATCTGTTTCATTTCCATCAATGAGAGATATTCTGCTGACGTCATAGTCAATATTCGGCCATTCGTGGCAGACAGACCACAGCGACGCTGTCGATCGCTCACGTCGCCAATAGAGGCTGGAACTACAGAGGAAGAGCTCGTAGAACTCATTTCAATCGGCGGCCACAGCATTTTACGCGTAAGAATGCTCGAAAATCCAGCGCGGCGCTACTACCGTTCTTGGGGCCCCATGTGTTTTTTACGTGTAAGTGGGTAGCGCGTTCACACCGTGTCTGCCCCGCGGCAGATCGGTGCAGCACTACAGGGACTGCAAGGAGGTCGGCCACAGCGAAGACGTCTGCCCCAACCCGGTCACGAACGAGTGTAAGTGATGCGGATCGAAGAACTATCCAATAAAATCATGACTGCAGACAGAAGTGCAAGCTCTGCGACCAACCCCACTAAAGGGCAAGCAAGATATGCTAAAAAAGACTCAGGGCAAGTCCCGCACCGTTACACGTCAGGGAAAAAAACAGATCGCGAAGCAAGCAAGCCATCTGGATGAGAGCTGCAAGCGGAAACCCGTCCGAGCAGCAGCAGCAGACGCGGTTGCCGCAGGACAAACAGCCTCAGCCATATGCGTTTTTCCTCGTTCCCGCTGCTTTCGATTACACCGCAGGACTCACAAAACGCACACTATGAGCCGACGACAGACGCATTAAGGAAACAAAACTCGGGGCTAATCAGCTGCTTAGAAAACAGTGAAAAGAAAGTGTAGGCTAGAGAACCGGCACTAGATCACAAACTATAGCAGCTCATGAAGCAGATGCAGAAAGAGCAGCAACAGGTACCGAAGACGCAGCCGCGGGCGCCGGCTGCGTCTGCTAGGCAGACCACAGAATCAACCAGAAAATTGGTCAGAAAATGAGCCAGATAATGGAAACACTTGAACAAAAAATGAACACTATGATGAACACCGTGAACAAGGCGCTTGAAAACATCAATCAAACCATCATTCAAATGGGTGAGACAACGCCAAGATTGAGCAATTGGGCGAGATGATCAACACCCAGAGGGACAAGATGGGCAACGCGCTAGGCCAGAGTATTTACGTCTTAGAGAAACATAGAAACAAACCCGAAAGAAGACGAAAACGTACCCAAAAAGAGACACGCAGAAGCACAGCCTCAGCACCCCCAATAAAGAGTAAGAAACCAGGAAATAAAGACGCAGATCAAATTTTCCATATCTGGACGGCAGATTGATCAACCGGAAACCACAAAATATGCTCGAATTTTGTATCCCTCATCAAGCGGATATCATCGCCCTGCAAGCGACAGAAACAGACGAGATCAAGCTGCGGGCCTACGAGACACACATAGCCTAAGGAAGAAACGGGACGGCCACCCACGAAGAATTAACAAATGACACAACACCAGATCAATTACAGAATAGAAAACACTTTGATGGAGATAACGTCGCAGAAAATGCCCTACAGTCTCTTCGTCCTGAACACCCTAAACGATCTGGACAACTTTCTAAGGGAGGTCAAGAAAGTTGCCAAAGTGATGAAGTTACAAGTAGTCGGGGACTTCAACGTACCGCACGTAGTATGGGTATACCACACGAGCAACAAGAAGGAAACAAACGTGCACAACGCGGCGCAGAAACATCAGCTGACGCTGTGTAATGACCGCCATTTTCCCACCAGAATTTGTCACAGCGTCTCTAAGGACACCAGCCCCGATTTCACCCTTTTGACGGGCTTAACGGAAGTCGAATGGACGAGGCAGTAAGAAACCCTGGGAAGTCAACACTGCATAATTCAAACCTGAAGAAGACCCCTGAGAACGGGATATGCGAAAATCACGGACTGGACCGCTTTCCGATAGGAGGAACATTTAGCGAACCTGGACGATATTGAAGAATGGACCAAGCAGTTGATGAGAGTGGTTACGAAGCACACAAGGACGGTACAATTCACCTCGGATAAACCCAAGGTGAGCCTGTCGGAACACGACTGAACAACACGCTATAAAACAGCACGGCGACAAAATCACACATCGAGAAAAGAGCACGAGCTAAAAAACAAAGCAGCACAACAACAAAACAGCGCGTGCATAAATGCAAACTGTTTTTCTCGCTGCACTACATATTATTACACGCAGTAGCATATATTGAATGCTTGTAGTTATCGTCTACAGCAGGACATGTGTATTGCCGCTGTATTTTATTATCTACTGTTATCTGACTATATTTTTACCTACGCCGTTGTGTATTACAGTGATGTCTCGTTAACATGAACACCTCCGTTCCCGTAAAAAATTGTCCATAATGTGAGTTGTCTATAATAACGAGACAAGAATGCATGCATCTTTCTAGTTGGTTCCCGAAACTGGTGTCCATATAGCGTGGTATCTATATTACCGGGGTCCATATTAACGAGACATGACTGTACTATCTATTTATGAATTCTCGTGCATGTTCAATAATATAAAACCTTCCCACCGCAAGCCAATGACGCTAAATTTCTTGCCGCCATTTTAATCACTGATTGATTGTTTATTCGTTAACGTATTATATCAATGAAAATTCGGTACCCTATTTATTCAAAGAAAAAGAAAGATACAATCTGACGGATTTCAATGGAACTGCTGAAGAAATAGTTTATTTGACATACACTTTTGCCTTGCATGTAGCTTACATGCAGTAAGAAAAGCGACATCCCAAAAGTGTGTCAATGAGGGGCTGCGTGGCATGTTATCGTGTTCACGTGTTCAAGCATCAGACTGTTTGCCGCTTGGGGTCAGTCGGGAATCTACGAACGATGACGTCATGCGCAGGCCTTGTGTTCCAGGTGGCTTCGATAGCATCCATGTGTTCTGTGCGCACTGTTTGTTTCGTTACACCTTAGGAAAGCGAAGTGAGTAAAGTCACTTTTTTTATTTCGGGGGCAATTTGATTCTCGTGTTTTACCTCATCCATCGCCGCAGCATGTCAGTTAACCGTCAAAACTAAACTCGAAAAAAAAAAACTTACAAAACATAAAATACGGAGTTATTTTTATTTTTAGAGTCCTATAAAACAGGAAATATATTATAGGGAATTTGTGAGGGGATGGGTGTGTAACGTGACGTATATTTATCCGCTAAATATATCGGGGAAACTCTATCGGTGCCTGGGCCACAAGACGCGGATTCTCCCGCTAAATTTAGCGGGTAACCCAATTGGCGTCTGGGTTCTAAGAAGTGCATTTTTCCGCTACATGTAGCGGGTAACTCTTTTGGTGCATAGGTCACGAGACGTCAATTTCGTGCTAAATTTAGTGGGAAAACTGATGTTTTTCTCACAAAACGTCAATCTTCCTAAGGAGTAGAGCTTAGGTGACGTCACGTGACGCTACTTTCCTCGCTAAGTTTAGCAGAAAATGCACGGACGGACGGACGAGCAAAATTTTGTTTTGGGGGGAGGTGGGGGGGGGGGGGGGGGGGGGAGATAGCATTGAAAAGCATTTCATGCTTTAACACAAATAAAATTTAAGCTTTTATGCGGGATTGTGCAGAGAAAAACACACGGCCTGTGCAAGTCTGGAATTCAATATATATTCATGATGGATTACCTTACCACTCCGTAGCATTCTAATGAATTTGAAGATCCAATAAAAAAGAACCACTGCACGTAGGGTGGGGGGGGGGGGGGGGGTGGAGCCTCAGGTCCGTGATGTATGTTGTAAACACTGCATCCACAGTACTATATGGAGTGTTCAAATTGATTGAGATTTTCCACTCTATTTATGTCGCCTCTTATTTCAGCTTATGTCACACGTATGTTTTGATTTTTGTTTTATGCAGAGCATTTACCACATAGGGCTGCGAGTTTGGCGGTGGTCGCTTACGCTGTCCTACAGCACCAATGGTCGCCTTCCAAATTTTCCTTTCCCTAAATCACTCTAGGGCTTAATAGCCATCACGGCGTTAATATAAGAGTAAGTAGGGCAGTAAAATTCTAAAACTTACCACCGTACTGTAGTGCTACGGTGCTTGATGTATGTTTTGTTTGCGTCGGGATGTACTACCAGAAAGGCATGTTGCTGTATGTAGGCAGCAGAAATAGTTAAACAAACAAGCAAGACACTGTAAACACTAACAAAATGGTAGGTTAGCGGTTCTATAATTCCGCATGAATTCAATGAAGCCACAGTACTTTGGTAGACGCACATGTTTACGAATGCGCTCACAAGCTATACAAAAATCACACGAGCTTGGTCAGGCCATTTGTTTGTTTACATCAGTTTTTTGTCGACTTACACTCAGTCAACCATTCGTTTGCATACGGATAATTGTGTAGATTAGTACTTCAAAAGTCTAGAGTATTCATGTTTGCACTCAACTTCAATATAACCTGTTTGGTATACAAAATTAGTTTAATAAGTGGCTCATGCAGATAAAGACTTCAAAACCTAAATTCCTAAATATTAACAAAGACACAAATACAGTCGCATTTAACTACCCTTTCTTTGATGCGCCCACAGAACAGGTAAAAAGTTACAGACATCTGATGATGAGAATATACAGAGTGTTTAATTTTAATTCCAACAAGTTGTTTTTAAGGAATTTATAGACATTAGAGGAAATAACAGTCACGGTGAGTTGGCTAAATAATTGAAACTTGTTAATTAACTTCTCAATAATTGGTTTAAGAGGCGTGTTGCAATGTCAGTATATAAGGCAGTTACTATTAGATGCTAGAGTCTAGACCAATCCAAATACTATACGTAAAAGTGACAATCACAGAGATGTTCATCGATCATTTTTCGCGTTCTTGTACCCGATTTCAAAATTGCGCGCAAACTTAGAAGATTTAGGACACTCCAAAAATAATATATGAGAGGACTGTACTGCTACAACCCATAGAACGTTCCTATAACCCTGCTAAATTTCTTTTCAACCTGGCGCGATAGTTTCGTGGATAAATCGATATTTATGCCGGACCCTCGTATCCACCCTATTCGAAAATACTGCCGTGTTTGCTGGGTCGGTGAAGTCATCCCCCTTGCACGCACTCGAAGACTCGGGTCTCTCGGCGCCTCGCTCTTCAGCTTTTACGTTTACCTTCTGCGTTTCGAGTACGCGCTTTCCAGACGGCGAAGTCTACGGCATCACTCGCTTTGCGGATTTTTTGACACTGATCACAGCTGCGATGAGAATGAGGTCATCAAAAAAATGTTCGAAGCTTTTCATTTTGACTCCGACCGGCTCGCGACCAGATGCAGCGACGACGACGAGATCGTCGCGGACGAGCTCGCCTTTGCCCGCGACGATCGAGCACGTGCATGCAAGGTGGAAGGTCAGGGGGCAAGGTAAAGAGAGCAAGAGTAGCCGAATAGCGTGAGGGTGTGCGATCGTACCGTGGCGAGGCGAGCTTGTGCGAGCATGGGGGCGCCTAAAATGAGAGAGCATTCAACTAAATATGATGACCAGTACATGATTTACGGGCGCCATGGCATGACTAACTTGAACAGTGTTGCCTGGTCGCCAAACGAAAATGATCGACGTTCGTAAATGAAATATTGCAATTAAGAAATCTCTAAGAATCGCCAACTTTTGTGAATATACAAAATAACCTCTGATCATTCCATTTCAAGAATAATATCATCTTTAACGTCGAAAGTTTTGCCCACAGCGATGCTAAGAAGAGTGACGTATTCATTTCAACCACGCCGTTACCCTCTTGGCAGCGGGTATTTGGTGGAGATACCGACGACGCACTGCCGAGGTAGTGACGACGTGACTGAAACGACTGCGTCACTCTTGTGACTTGTGAACTTTATGGTGGGCAGAGCCTCAAGCGCTCCGTTTGCGCGTACTTTGGGGACTTAAATTAAATAACGCTAAAACAGATAAATAGATATCTCAAAACAATTACTTGTCGGCAATTTTTTTTAATTTGTCTGACCTGCATTAATAAGTGTCATTATCATTATATTTGAAACATGGCCAAATAAACCAATTATCAAAAAAAGGTTATGATCAAATTTTAGTTAATTCGCGTACAGATCATGACGGCAGCCTTCCCTCCTGGACCCTGGTGTCAGCCAAGGCCGAGTAAAACATGGTAATGGCGCCACCCAAGGAACTCTCAACATCTTGTTTTTGCTTTTATGCGAATCAATTATTTGGCTTAGCATTTTTTAAGTTATAAGATTACTGTTGTTTACTTAGAATTTTTCTTTTATTGAGAGATCTGGAAGTTTGCTTTTAGTATTCAAGTGCTTCACCCATTTCGTTGAATATATTTTGCGAAATGTTGGATTTGTTGGTCTCGCGTGACGCCGGTATTGAATGCCCGCGTGGATATTTTCTTATTGCATTTTGATTATCTACATTTATCTAAAACAAACATTGACACTACATTTTCCAAGCCTAAATTATTTGAACTTGTCTTAAAAAAATTGCAGTACAACGCATTCGTTTAGATGGTTTTTCGCATTACATAACACAACAAAAACTCAATATTTTTTTTATATCTGCGACGATGTCTTGATTGAGTGTTATTATCCTGCTAATACAATTGGCTATAAATAATTGCAGAGAAACACGAGCGTGCGCACTTGTTCCCGTCGGTAGTAATAATCGAATATTGCTGTCGTCAATGAGTTTACATTTTCTAGTGGTTTCATTTCGTAT